TTGTGGGGAAATCCTGGATATTTTTACATTTCATTGTGCGGATCCTAAAGAGGAGTACAGTGTGATGTAAAGAATTCGCTTGTATGTAACTAGTGCGACCCGTGTTAGAATATGGCACAGTATGTGGAGACCCATACAGGAGGTCACAAGGTAATCTAGAAAAGCTCTAGTGCAGAGCATTAAAATTCACTTCCAGGTGTACAAAAAATAGAAGTGTGAGGGAGTTACTTGGAAATAGGTGGATTAAATTGCGACTCTATGCTAGTCCAAAGCCATTTTTCTAAGATTTCGAAAATTTCTCAACTTAAATTTTTTGGGGGGGTCTTCCTACAATTACATTTTTTATAATAATAGAAATTTTTCCTTCAAGTAAAACTTTTAGTCCATAGTTTAATAGTCCATAAACTTTTAGTCCATTTCTTTCTTAAAGCCCATGTGCATTTTTTTTTGCAAATTTTATTACTTTTCTCACAATATTGCGAGCAATATGAGCAATATTAAAGAAACAGTTTTTCGGCTTGAATTTTTTACTTTTGGTAGGGATTGTGCTAAATGCACTCCATAAGATGACAAAATGCCATATTTCTCTATTGTTAGTTGCTTTGTCTACGAATTCCAAAACTTCAATTTTTTTGACTTGTCTCTCACATCGTTAATATTTACTTTAGCTGTGATTTGTTCATGATATTGCATTTATGAGTAAATGTGCTTTAAATTATTTTTTATACAATTTGTCCAAAACTCAATAGTTTTCTGTGCTCAACATTCTGCATTTTCAGAAATGTACAAATGCCATTTTGACAAAAATGACTACAAATTTTTTCTTCAAACTTGTTGTATTGAGAGTGCTAATTGCTGTATCAGTTTGTTTTTTTCAAAAATTACACTAATGTAAGTTTTTTAAATTAGCTCTCTCTTGTTTAATATGCACATTTCCAGCAATTTGTATTCATTACAGTTAGTGGGTGAAAGCTCTTCAAATAACGTCCAAATTTTTTCGAAAACTCAGTTTTCTGTGTTATGCGCTTAAAATTTCGCATTTACAGTAACATTTAAAGTCGTTTTAAAAACTGCTCAAAAGTTTCCATCAATAATTGCCATTATGACGTTGTACTTTTCTTTAATATTTTTAAAGTTATATTTTGGTTTATAACTATAGTTTTATAACAATATATAAATATATAATGTTTTTGGGTTGCAGCTGGCGAGGGGATGTTGCTATAAAGCTAGTCCAGACAAACTAAATTTTAAAATTTTAGTAAGGGAAAGACTGGCATTCTGTAGCACCACTAGTTTCCTTTGCAAATAGTTTTTTGTTGCATGGGAGCTAATATTTTCTTATTAATTTTTACCCAAAATTCTTGAATTCCTCATGTACTTACAATTCAACTTGTATGTGGGTTAGAGTAGAGATCACAGAATTAAGAAAAAAAAGTGTGAGGAATACACTTCTCTCCTTTACTGTTTCGGTTTTTAACTTTTTTTAATGTTAAATAAATAAACATTAATAAGATGTTTGAACTTCATAAATATGACTTATAAAAATATAATGTGCATGCTTTTCCCATTACCCATTATAATCAAATTTCTTCAAAATTTTTACAACTTTCTTCTCTATTCACGAACTTACTATTAATTTTTATTCGAACATCTGTTTGTACACAATAGGGTATATACATTTGGGAAAATCCTTTGTATGATTTAGATGCTAGAGATATCTACAGATGGTCAGACACACATTTGGAAATTAAACAATACTATTTTTTCATTATGGGATTGTAAAATTTGTTTTTTTATAAAATCTCATTGTCATCCTTCCGCATCTTTACATAACTTCCTGTTTTATGTATACTTCATATGTTCATTGCATGCAAGGAAGTAAAATGAGATAAAACGGATCAGATGGGGTAAATCCCATTATTTAGGCCATGACTGACTTTTGCATTATTGACACTCAACCTACATATTCTCGATAAGTTTCTGTCATTTGTGGGAAGTGTGTCAAATATTTAAATATATAAGGAATATTAAAATTGTTTTCTTGAAATTGAAAAGTGGGTCAATGACAGACAGCATGGTTCCGAAGGGTTAAAACATTTCCTGTGTTGACACTCAGAACTTTCACTGTTGAAATGGGTGAGCAAAGAATGTTAAACCAATCAATGTTATACCAGAACGGAGCAAACATTGCTCTAAAAACAAAAATAATATATATAAAAAGAAAAATAATTATTGGTTTGATTTTACAATTGCATAAGGAGCAAAAATATACAAATTAAACAGATGATTGGTTTCTCTTTAACAAGCAGGATAAGTCCAACTGTACTTAATTTGTATACTGGCAGCAAACCTGCTTTAAGAGAGTTGTTAAATTTGGGGGTAATTAAATAGGAAGTTAAATATTTTGTATAAGGAATTTGAAAGTTTTTACATGTTATAGGCCACACACATGAACACCAAGTACATTATTGGCTTGACCCCAGTTAACAAATTATATACCAAGGGTAAAGACAGAAATTAACTAATTCACAAATTACTTACATTAGCCGGTCGGTATGATAAAGCTTGATAAGTGATTATGAATGGATCATTACCGATTATCAGCATAATGCTGGCATTTGCCATAGGGTGGTGGTGGAAGTCAGGTGATCATGTGAAAATGAGGCATTTGCAAGAAGTATTTCAATTAAAAAAGGGGTTTGAAATTGCAGTGAGGACTGACCATTGTTTTAAGTAAATGACAAAGGCAGAGGATCAGAGTCTCATCACCATAATTCGAAAATGCATCACACAATATGAACTAAAGGTATATAGATAGGCTAGGTGGTTTTACGTTAATAGAAATTATCAACTGACAGTGAAATTCAATACTTCACCTACCCTTTCTGGCTATTTCTAGAGATAGCCAAAGAGAGAGAGAGAGAGCTGCTCTTGTTCGAGTAATTGCTTTGAAGAGATCAATTTAAAACAGTCAATATCATTAAAAATTATTACATCAGTCGTGAACTCTCATCAAAGTCAAAACACCTAACTGGGAGGTTATCAACATAAAACGAAAAAAGGATATATATTGTGATTAAGGGTGTAATTTTTCACTTTCTTGCCTTAGTGCATACACAATGAAGAAGTATTTTCATGCTGCAACTGAAATGGGCAACTGTATTGTGGGGTATCAAAAGATGGGTAAATCTTTTTCCTATATGTAGTAAATAACTTCCTCTTAATGTATGTACTGAGAATCCCCTTTTTTGGGTCTGTGGTACTAAAAAATTGATTGATGCCTTGAATCAAAATTTGTCTGCGTGTCTGTAAATGCTAGCTCCTGAACCATTTACATGTACAATGGTCATATGCATTTATTGTCTCAGTGATAATAGTTTATGCAAAACTTGATTATTCTCAATTTGGAGACTAATCTGTAGGATATGGTCGTCAATATCACTAATCATATTCAAAGATATATCATTATCTGTTTGAAAAACAGAGCTGGAGTATTCTGCTAAAAAGTTTACACTATTATGGTCATGTTTGCTTACTGTATCACCAAGGGCCATGGTAGACTGTTCTAGTCATGGTAGATGGTAATACATAATTTTTTCTATCCTTGTTTATAAAATTACAAAATTTTATCAGTTTTAATGGGATTTTAAATATTGCGCATATAATTTTTAAAACATTCTTGTTGTAAATTTTTGTATGGGATCTGAGCTGAGATCAAACTTGATAGTTTTCTCTATTACTATTACTCTCTACATAATATGTGACCTATTTTTAACTTCTATAATTTTTTCACTTCAAAACTATACCTTTACAGATAATGTGGAGATATCAAATGTTTTAATGGTAAATTTTGTTTCATATTTTCCTCCAATAACAAACAAAAATTCTTTGCTAATTGTGGTATGTCACAAACAATAATAGTTCCAATGAGGTGATTTCAAAAAATTAAAGAATAATAATCTGTGGGGTTAAAAATTATGGTGTATGTGTATATATCCCCTGATCATGATAAATATATATACCCTGATATACCCTGATCATGATAAATATTTGTATCAGAAATGAATGGGAGATGTTGTGTATTGACCAAGTCTTTAAGAGTGGGTCCAAAATATTGAAGATTTTTCAATTTTTACATCAGAGAAAATTAAATCGAAGTTTTCACTAGTGTAATTAGATACATTATTTTACTGATGAGGGTTTGATAACCAAAAGGAATGTGAAACTATTGTAGCCTTATCTTGTAATAATCAAATACCATTTGGCTCAGGAGGTAAAGGTACACCATTTTTAACGTTAAGCGAGTTTGCACTTGGAAGATCATAATCTCCTGCAATCATAATTCTGTAGTTATACCTACCTCCCCTCTCTCCTTTTTTCTTTCCTTTTCTTTTCTTATTTTCACAGTTCAGATATGGCATTTGGTTGTAACTTTTTGAGGAGTGATTTACATGAAACCTCTACATATTTGCCAACATTTTCTCAAAACAATTTTTGATAGAACTTTTTCTTCAGAATGCGTGAAGTTCACTTAAAAAATGGCACATCTCATTTTCATTGAAATATCTAAATTTTTTAAAATTGCAGAAGTTCAACATTTTTAAAAATTCTTCCTAACAAATTGTAAATGCAAATATTCAATTAGTTAGGAAGAGTCAGAAAGTTTAGCTGTGAGGCTAGTGGTGTAGGTGTAACATGACTGGTATGTTAAGTCTTAAGGATCTGAGGTTGAATCTCAACATAGAGAAAAATGTTTTGGTGGTTGGAAAACGTGTCTGCTGGTTCATGTATTATGGTATTGTGTAACCGTTACAAAAAATGCTAGAAAGTAAGGTCTTGTAGAATTTCTAGTTAATTTATATTAAGAATATACTGAGTAGTGGTTTATAAATGAAGAATTATACTGGGCAAAAAAATGTTGAATGAACTTAATGTATTTAAATCAAATTAGCTTATTTCTTTGGACATGTTTCAAAAAATGAATGCGTTACTTGTTTCAGAAGTGCAACAAGTTGTTGAAAGGGGATTCTGAGGGTATCAAGAGTTCTAAACGAGCTCGTGCTGCGAGATCCAAGACTCGCAAGCTGGTAGAGGAACCAGGTTTGTATATTCTTTAATTTGCAAATTTATTGTAATACTTCATTCATTGATCAATCATCTTAATAATGTTAAATATTTTTACTTTTCCTCCCAATACATACGAAGGAAGGAAAAGTATTGGAATTGTCTCATCAATATGATTTTCAATATTGATTTAAATCCATATTCAAGGTTCTTTTGAGCAGTAACATTGCACACTTGTGAGCATTAAGGTTTATTAGTGCTGTTTCCAAAGGTGGTTAAGACTGGTACAGGTGGAGATGCATAATTTTGTTTCCGAGACTTGATTTCTGTATGTGAATAAGTGGATGTAAGTGGACGTTGTTAGATTAGAAGCTCTCGAGCTGAAAATTGTAAATAGGTCAGGAATAAGATTTAGATGTGCTGTTCTTTAGTTCAATAAAATATTTTAATTTTTTGGTGTAATCTTTACGTGAAACACACATGACATTTTCTGGAAAATCGCTGAAATTTTTTTTCTTCCTTGAATAGGAGAAAGTGTATTGGCAAGAATGATATGCTTCCAATTATCATTAAAACACCTTACATTTAGAAGAAGAAGAAAAAATATATATTCAAAACACTGAAGTCCATATTCATAATTGTCACTTAATAAGGAAATGCTTTTGTACATTTGGTATTCATAGACTATACTTAAGGCTAAGTGTATCGAAAAATACTTGTAGGAAGATTCAATAGATCGCAGCATTATCAAAAGGAATTTGACATTACCAAATCTGAAAAAAATATCCGATTTTCTATCTGTAAATGGCATTTGACTCATCTTCAATATAGAATTTAAGCTATGAAGCCCCTTTTCCAAACACAATAGTCCAAATTCATTTTTCAAATTGCTTTGTACTTTGGGTATTCATTTCAAGAATTAAATAAAATGTGGTAAATAGCACGATGGTGTCATGCTTTCTGACTCCATCGCCATTTCAAACATCCAAAATGGATGAGTAGGTGTTTCGTAAAGTGAAATTAGGGAATATTTCATGTCTGCAGGCTGCTCTTACTTAATTGAAGGCAAGCAGTGATCAGTTAACACTTTTGTTACTTTTCGCATCTCAATATTGGTTTTCCACACAAAACAAACCACTGTGATACACCAGAAGGAAACCTTCTCATGTCATAAGGACATTGAAGGGTCCCTAGGACCCCAGACTGAATCACCGGCAGTTTCCAAAATCCTTCACGAATATCAAGTCAGGAAAGTTGTGTGCTTCACACTTTGATAGAATAACAAGAAGTGCATCCATGTGGATAGGTGTGAAGAAGAAATGCTGAAAAGATATGAAAGAGGCAGCTAGGTGCGTTTGTGATGTAGCTACTGGTGACGAAACATGTTTATCAGTTCAATTGTGAAAATAAGTGCAAATACTACGTATTTTTCCAACCAACGTTCACCACAAAAGTTTAGCGGCCTCAACACGGCGGAAAGAAAATGGCTGCAACATTCTTTTCCAGAAGCGGTCAAGTCAGAACTGTTATACTTGAAGAACAAAAAACTTCTCTGTTGTACTCAATAACATGTCTACCAAAAGTTTTCACTAAGCTTCATGAACGGCAATCGAAGACAGGACTGCACCATGACAATATGTCTGCGTACATGCCCAACTTCACTTCCTGGAATCAACAGAGGTTAAACTAATGACTCGCTCACCTTACAGTTTTGACCTGGCACCATGTGAGTATTTTCGGTTCCCTACTGTCAAAAGTTGCATGTGAGGAAGGAGGTTCTCAAGCCCCAAAGAGCTGTTGATGCCTACAAAAGTGAACTTTTAGCACTTGAGGAAAATGAGTATACAAACTATTTTGAAAATTTACACTTAACAACTCTTGTGACATGTTGCCTTTCTGAGTGCTGTTTCTCTATGCAGATAATAGCACGTTATGCATTTCAACTATTCACATCATGTATTGTTCTGTACACTTCTTGTTATATCTATCCAAACCCATAACAAAAATCTAAGTGTTAAATCTGGAGATCTTGGTGGCGACTGAATCGTACTGCCACAGCCATGATTTGGACATGTGGTTGAAGATTGAGAATCACTTGTATGAAGGACATTCAATAATTAGAGACAAATTGGTCTGAAGAAATAAACATTAATTTTTGGAAAACAGGATTTTTTTCTACTTTTCAGTATAATGTCCACCAATATTTATGCACTTGTCCCAATGAGCTACCAGCTTTTTTATACTGGCTGCAAAGAACTCTTTTATCTTAGTGTCTGAACCAATTTCCCACAAATATTCGTTCAGACATCCTCGTTATTCTGGAACTTCTTCCCACATAATGGCTCCTTCAGTTGACCAAACAAATGGAAATTAGATGGTGCTGAGCGTGAGGACGTGAGTTGGAGAGTCACACCTCTCCGCTATGGCCCATGACAATTCTCTCTCATAATGTAACGTTGTGACATTGTGCCCCCTCCTAGAGTAGCCTCTTTCAAATAATCTTCATCAATTCTGTAATTCTGTCCAAGAGTGAAGCAGCCATTGAGTTGCAACTTTTCTGGCTCAAAGATATTCCTGTCAGAAAATCATATGTATAAATGTCACACAATTGTCTAGACAAGCAAGTTCCAACTTATAAATATTATTCAGAAAGGACACTGTGATCAATTCACAGTTTTAGAAAGGTAATAATGGACCTCAATACAATATATCTCAAAACTTCTGTAGCGGGCCACGTATCATGCGCTCGAGAACCACAAGTTTAGCCCTAGTACTGTTTATTTGATAGTAAATTGTGTCCAGTTATTTGGTGTTTTATATTAATAATTAATATTGTGCCATATTAAAAGCACATTCCCTGGCATTACGTATGACACCAACATATGACAGAGAAGCGACATGTGACATGATCAATTAAAATGTTAGGCTCTGGCCTGACTCAGTCCTGGCTGGTGGGTATCGACGTGTCCATTGTGCAAGATTGTTTCTGAGAGAATTTTGTGAGGTTTTAAAATAATATAATATCGTAATCTCTCATATGATTCACTTCTGTTCTATGATAGGTTGAAGATGATGTTCATTAGGATCCTTATTTCTCTAATATTTATGCTAATACATGGTTTATTCTAAGTATTACTTGGTCTCACCTGTGTGCACTTGTGTAGATATACCTGTCATCTAAGAAAATGTTTCATCTGCAGAATTTGTTAGCTTTAACTTGTTCAGGGCTATATCCTCATAAGGTTTGTGATATGATTTGTGAATTGCCTTTTCTTTTTAATTTCAGTTATATTAACTCTATCTTCTGATGATGAAGATCAAAGGCATAGTGATCTGGACTCTTCCCTGGATAGATCGATTAGTAATAATCACTCAGTCCCTTCCGAAAATTCATCTTATGTGTGTAGTGATAGTTCGGTGACATCATCTGCCATGGGGAAGGAGCCAATCATTGAAGAAGAAGAACCGTCCTATCAGCCGGGCGATGAAAATTGTGAAATTAAAGGTATTAGTCTTGATGCTATGCATTTTTCTTCTTTTTTTCTTCTTTTCTTTTTTTTTTTCTCCCTTTTTTCTTCTTTTCTTTCTTGTTTATTATTATTATTATTATTATTATTATTATTATTATTATTATTATTATTATTGGTATAAAAATGTCATGAGTTCAAATTTGTCATACGGTATATGTTTTTCTTTTAATTTTTCTGTCAGTTTTGTCAGTTTAAAAAAAATGTTGCAAATAACTTATAAATAATATAATTTAATATTAACAAAACTGCTTGAGAAAAACAGAATTGTAATTATATTGATTTTTGTTCTTGCATGGTGCATGGTTTAGCAGAAGAAAATTTCAATTCTTGAGTTATCCTTCAATTTCAATTTGAGTTTTTAACTAACTCTTTCTTCTCTCACATTTCCTCTTCTCTCTCCTATCCTATCTCCTTTTATTCTTTATATATTATTTCTTTATTATTATATTCTTTCTATTTGAAACAAAGGGTGGTATGAATAATAAATGTGCTCGGAGTACTTTCTCACAAGTATGAGAATTTATTCTGAGAATATTCTCTGACCATGCAGCATTTGCTCAACTCCTTATAAATAAAAATATTTACCAGGTGATGAGAGCATTCTCATGGCAATTACAAAATGTTCTTATCTTGCTATGCAACTGATGCCATTTGGTTCCGACTCGCGTTGTTCTACTACTTAACTGAATTTGTTCACTTGCTGCTGGTACCAATGTTTATGTGTCTACCATTGTTACTGTGTGATGAGTGTTCTTCAAACTTCTGTCATTTTCATGTCTATGGAGCAAATAAAATGAAGAAACGTTGTTTCAGTTGCCTAAATCATAGCTCTATTCAGGGGTATGTATCGCTTAATTAAACATTGACAAATGCCATAACCTTCATTGTGAATAAGTAAGATCTTGGAATTGTTAATGTTTATTATTTTGTAAATGCCTGAACTGGAGTCAACTGATTCAGGCTGGGTAACATTCACGCTAGCAGTCCCATTCCTAGAACACAATTTTGCATGAATTCATTCCCAAGAATGATAGTTTTCTTCAATAGGAGTTTGTGTTCAAAGTCTGGTGCTGATAGAGGAAATAAACTTGTAAATGTTCTGACACACAATTTTTTGTTTGTTTGTTTCCACTATGAATAGTGTAATTTTTTTTAGTGTAATTTGTTACGCTGTGCATTACCTCAACAGTGGTTTATTACAATGTTCTCTGTGGAAAATGCTCAAATTCCACCAACAAATCACTAAAAAGATTATTAGCACCTACGCATAAAAAATACTTTTTATTTTGTTTCGCTTGAACTAGTACCTTGTCCAGTTTCAATCTTTTCTTGACTGAAATTGACCCTTGTGACAAATTTATAATTCCTTAAAATTGTATCAAAATCTAGGAAGTTCTATTCCATTGTATTGTTCATCGTTGTTCACCTTTTAATTACTGATATACAAGAACAAAGCCATTTGAGGACAGATTTGTGCTTACAAAAAAATCTATGATTTTTCTTAAAAGTGAGGCTTCTAAAGTTCAGATTCAAAACAATTTGAAGATATATTCACAGAAAGAGTAAATTCTCGGTTTTATTCATGCGTATGTGAGTATATGCTCTAT